GATTTGTATTGAAATCATTCTATCACTTTGTAATTGTATTCCAGTACAGCTTTTCCCACTCTTTTGTTGACTATGAGGGCTACTCCATTTCTTCTACAGGATTCTTGCCCACAATAGTAGATATGATAATCATCTGAATTGAATTCACCCATTCCCGTCCATTTTAGTTCACTGACGCTCAGGATGTCAATGTTTCTTCTTGTCATCTCCTGTTTGACCACATCTAGCTTCCCAAGGTTCATAGATCTTACATTCCAGGTTCCTATGCAGTATCCTTCTTTGCAGCATTGGACTTTCCTTTCACTTCCAGGCACATCCACAGCTGAGCGTCCTTTCAGCTTTCGCCCAACCACTTCATTAGCTCTGGAGCTACTTGTACTTGTCGTCCGCTCTTCCTCAGTAGCATGTTGGATGCCTTCTGACCCAAGGGGCTCATCTTCCAGTATCCTATCTTTTAGCCTTTTGTTTCTGTTCATGTCTCAATCAGTAGGTATGGGTATGGAGACTGAACAAAGAAGAAAACTGACTGGAGAAAAATAGATTCATTTGAAAAATTGTGCTGGAGGAGACCTTTGCAGACACCCTGGTCCAACAGAAAGACAAACAGATGGACCCTAGATCAAATCAACCCTGAAGACAAAAATGATTAAACTGAGTCTGTCCTACGTTGTGGACATAATTGAGAAGGCAAGATTCTCTGGAAAATACAATGATATTGGGACAAGGTGAAGGCAGCAGGAAAAGAGGAAGAGAAAATGCAAGATGGATTGACTCCATAAAGAAAACCACAGCCTTAAGTTTAGACAAGCTAAGGAAGGCTGTTGAGGGCAGAACATTTTTGAGGTCAAGCTTAATGAGGCATTTCCTTTTAAAAAATCTCCCATCTCTGGAATGATCTCCTGCCTGAAATTCTCCTGACCCCTTCACTGGGAACTTTTAAATGATCCTTGAAGACATGCCTCTTCAGGCAGGTCTTTCCAGAATTTACATCTGAATAATGCAGCTGCACATTCCAGTGTTTACATCATTCCATCTTGCCTTTGAAACTGGTATTTTTTTGTTGACTTTATTTACTCTATGTTTGTTATTTTGATTTTGTGTTTGACTTTTTATAATTATGTTATGATCGTAATTGAATATTGTATTTTTGTTCTGATCTGTTTGGTTATGTTTTATATTTCATGTGCTATCGTCTCATTTATTTATTTATTTATTTATTTATTTATTCAATTTTTACCCCACCCCTCTAGACAACGTCTACTCGGGGCGGCTTACAAAAATTAAAACACATTAAAGCAATGTAGAACAATAACTAACATAATGCAATTATTATAATTAATATTATCCAAGATGGCAACATTAAGAACCAGAAAAAAGGGGGAAAAGAACTTAGGTGACTGGGGGGAATGCCTGTCTGAATAACCATGTTTTTAGTTGGTTATATCATTGGATATAAACTAGCCAGATGGATGGTATAGGTATAGAAATCAAACAAGTAAGTACAGTAAATAAAATAAAACATGAAACTTATGAGATGTTACAAGAAGAAACAGGAGATAAACAATTTGGATTCAGAGGAGGTTCTTGAACCAGGGGAGCATAATTTTGCATATAAGTACTTGGGAAGAGGTGTTGTGACATCAATGTGGCTAAGCATGTTTATTGACCATGAAAAGCCTTTGACAAAAAGTCCCACATGTACATTTATGGAGTTGTTGGCAAACAAATATCTTGATTTAAGAGATAATTCTTAGGAACAGGAGCCTGTGTCACAATAGATAGCGATCAAAGAAAGAATAAGAAAAATGTGGAGAATTGGAATATTTTGATCATAAAGTGAAAAGTATGAAGTATTACACTAATCATTCAGTGAGTGGGGGAGTGCAGGGAGAAGAACTTCTTGGCTGAAAAATCTTGGGAGTCTGGGTTGAATACCACACAGTATCTATTGTTTAGGGCTGCTGTATCCAAGGTCACAATAACCACAAGAAAGTCCAACCTGCAAGAGAAGATGAAAAAGCAACTGAGGTATTTGTATTCTTCTCTTTCCTCGTTTAATTTTTCTTTAATAGCATTTTATGTGTTCTTAGCCTTTTGTCTCCTCCGTAATGTTAACTTATCTAAGTTTTATCACTGTCTCTCCCTTCCACATACAACCAATAAAGTAAAAGTCAACTTTTTCCCAGACTCATTCAGTGTTGTTTCCAGTACTGTAATTCTACAGTAAGTTAGTTTTTCAATGTTGCTTCTTTCAGACACCAGACAGCTCTGAATAATCTTTCACTTGTTTCAGGAGATTCTAAACCTCTCTCATCAGAACTTTTCCTCATGATTTTTACAAATAGCAAACTCCTTCCTTGGCTAATTTGTGGTGTGGGAACTATACTGAATAAACTTCAATTTAGAAACCAACTCTAAATAAATTTCCTTTCATTCTCCTTTTATTTCATTCTTTTTTATGTATGAACTACCACTATTGTTCTTGTTCTATAACTAATTTTTCTGCAATGTAATAGCAAATTTCATCTGCCACTTTAATCCAAACTGTTCTGTATTGCATTTTGATTTAATTTTCCTTTGATTTTGTGTTTGTTGTGTCTTCATTTTTTGTTCACTTAATTTGCAGGTTACCTCCCGGAATTTAAAATTTCATACTGATTGACTAAAATCCTCTTGCGTTGTTACACCAGCATAATGCTTAGAGTGTACTGTACAGTTACTGTTTCAAACTAAATTGTCTCAAGTTAAAAAAAAACCTATTGCCATCTGGAGCCATATGACCCAGGGAAAACTATGGCTTCTTGATGCAGTTCACATCCAGAATTTGCCCCACTAGCACTTACACTGGCATAGTTACTATATATAAGAGGATTTTGGTCATCAGATCTGTGAATAGACTTGAGTAAAAAGCCCCACTGCAAGAGAGACCTTATTTTGGGGGGAAAGCCATTTGTTGTTGAGGCAACCTTGCCTCTGCTCAATATGTAAGCGTATTTTACAGAAACATAAAAAGTTACATTTCATCTCATTTCATTGTTTCTTCATGTCTAACGAAGTGGACGCGTCCATGAAAGCTTACATTAAAATATAACCGTTAGTCTTTAAGATGCCACGTTTCTGTCTTGGTTTTTTTTTGGGGGGGGAGGTCCTGATATAAAAAAATTATGTACTGTCTCTGTTCACCAAAAACAAATTATGCACAATGTTTTTCCTCCAATTGCCCACGACAGAATGCGGCCCAAAATATAAGCGATCCCAGTTCTTCCGCGTTTACATTCTTATTCCCGCCAATACAAGAGCCAATCACAACCTCCCACAGTCAGCTACTATCTTTTCCTGTATCTGGCCTTTTCACGTTTCCAACCAGGCAGCCCTCCTCGAGCCCTCGCCCCGCCTCCTTCTGGACGGACAATCACCTGCTCTTGCACACAGCCCCGCCCCCACAAACAATTTAACTGACCCCGCCCCTTCCCTTTATAGCCTCGTCGGCAAAACAGAGCCACGTGCCTAGAGAACTCCCGAGTTCAAGGTGGGAGAGCCTGATACTTCTGTTCCCGCGGCGAACGGCATGTGATAGGCATCTACTCTGACCAATTACAAAACTGCCTTGGGTGGGAGCGTGAGATGAGGCGGATGCTGCTTGTGGGCACCAATCAGAGATGCGGAAAAGGCGGAAGTTGGAGTGGTTTGAAGTGGCCGAAGGCTTCCGTGTGGTGGAGAGCCTTCTCCTCTTTCTGTTTTCTCCAGAGGTTTCCCAGCGAGGCCTTAAGAGAGGTAATGCTTGCGCCCGCATTTGCAGCGAAGACAAGTGGGGGGAGAGAGAGGGAGGGAGGAGAAGACGACGACTAGGAGGTGCCTTTTGCCTCAGTTTCTTTGGGGGTTTTCTGAGGGAAATAAAAGCAGGAGGAGGGGGGGCTGGCTGCGCTTGTGCTCCCCTTGAGGACGACCTAACTTATGATTTCTTTTGGTCAAGTAATAAATGGGTAATATGGCTGGAGAGCTCGGTGAGTCAGGCATCTGGCTGTGGTTGGGGGTTCGATCCCGCACTGTGCCTCCTGCGAGTTAGAACCAGCCCTGCGTGGCCTTGGAAAAGGCTCTCTGTAATCGACTCTGTCGCCATATGGCGGTGGTTATAATAGGTAGCATGCGTCTTTGCTGTTGGATTGCGTAGAAGGGCCACAAGGCCCTCTTTTCTTTTCTTTTTATAAAAATAGTGACATATTTACTGACTCGCAAACCGTGAGAGGAAGGAAATCTGCAATCTAGCGCCGGCGTCTTTTTCCCCTCATTCTTTTCACTTTAGGGTGTGCAACTCGAGGTCCTCCATATGTTGTTTGATTGTCAAGTCTTATCAGCCTAGCAGAGCCGATTATGTGGGATGGTGAGAGATGTAATTTTACAATATACAGTACATAGTAGATGTTGCCTCCCTCTGTTTTACTGGAAGTCCCCATAAAATAGGCATGTGGGCCCTTCAGTTCTTGTTAGACTCTTTGCTCGCTGTGCGCCTAGGTTGCCAAGAACTGTGGCAGTAGGAACAATATCTGAATGGCCACACCTTCTGGGCTTTTTTTGAGGTCTGAAGGAGCCAATGTGTGTTTCCGGTGGAAGTGGCAGAGAGAGAAGCCAGGGGATATCTGGCATGAATTTCCCTGCAGAGCCTAGAGCTGATCACTACCTTTCCAGCTAATCTTTCATACAGAATTCATGTGAGGAGGTGAATTCAAGTTCCTTAGGAAAATGCACAAACTAAAGTCTATGGCTTCCTTTATTGAGTCAATATATCACATGGTGGGTCTTCCTCCTTTCCTACTGTCTTTAGCATTTCTTAGCATTATCTTCTAGGAACTTGCCTTATAATATTATCCCAGGTACAATGGTCTCAGTTCAATCATGTTAACTTCCAAGAAGAGTGTAGGTTTCATATCATCTAGCTCCCATTATATTTGTATTTCCGGTGCTCTGGTATTCATAAGGCTCTCAAAGTCATCAATGGCCATATTCTTTATTTTTAAACAGATAGGCTGCAAACTCCTAGTGTGTATTCTTCACAAGGCCTGTATTTAACACACAGTTCACTGATCAGAAATCTGGTATACGTATATAGACAAAATTCTTATCCTCACAGTAGATTTCCAGATCAGGATTTTGGATGTCAATTGATATTTCACGATGGAAGATAGTTGGACTTCAGGATGTAAATGTATATACTGTACTTTACAGGAAAGATAAGGGATATCAATATAGTTATGGAAATTAAGTAAATTTCTTAGTGTAAAATGCCTTTTCATGCATCTTAGTTTTATCCTGAATGCATGTTTGGTGCTGAATTTAGCTCATTTAGCAGAAATATATGGAACCTTATCACTTCCCATAGAAATACTGTAGAATTATAGAACAATTGAGTTGAAAGGGACCTGTAAGGCCATTGAGTTCAACCCCTTGTTCAATGAGAAATCCAAATGAAACTAGATCTGACAGATGGTTGTCCAATTTTCTCTTGAATGCCTCTAGCTTTGGAGCTCTCACCACCTCCTGAGGTAATTGGTTCCATCGTTGTGCTGCTCTAACAGTTGAGATGTTTTTCCTGATAGCCTAAATCTGACTTCCTATAACTTGAACCTATCATTATGTATCCTGCATTCTGGGACAGAATGCCCTCAATCCATTCCAGTCCAGGTTCAGGCTACATCATGGTACAGAGATGGCATTGATTGTCCTACAATATGACCTTTTGAGGGAGGCCAGTAAAAGCAAAACATCCTTTTTGGTCCTCCTTGATGTGTCAGCAGCCTTTGATATTGTCGACCATGATATCCTCCTCGGGAGGCTGTTGGGGTTGGGGATCAGGGGCCTGGCCTTGGCCTGACTCTGGTCCTTCCTGGAGGACCGCCCTCAGAGAGTACAGCTTGGGGAGATGCTGCCCGCTCCCTGGACTCTCAGTTGTGGAGTCCCTCAGGGGTTGACCATCTCCCCAGTGCTATTTAGTATCTATATGAGGCCGCCGGGGGAGGTCATCAGGAGTTTTGGAGCTTTGTGTCACCAGTATGGGAAATTGAACTCCCAAACTCTGGCTCCACAGATTTACTTAAGTAAATATTGTCAGTATTGCAAAGAAATGTTGCATTTCTCTTAGAAAAGAGATGCTGCCTTTCTCACTTTCTGAATTTAATTAAGATGATTTTATTCTTTAAATAGTTACACTAGGTTACACTATATTTTTTAGCATTATTCATCTGTTGAAATGTTACCAACCTCTCCATATTTGCTATTTTTATCCTGAAGAGCAATGGTATCTATCCCCTATCTTCTAGGGGGACTCTATATAACCCAGCTATCTATTATACCTTTCCTTTCCATGAAATAATCTGGCTTCCATCAAAATAGATTTGCTCACTTCTGCTAACCATGTGCAATTCTGGTGTATTTTAAATTGAAACTAAGTACCATGTGGAAAAAGAAGCTAATAAAATAATTTTTAATTTCTGATTCTTTCAAGCAGTACTGTGTGATTGTTCTTTAAGGAATATACATTCAAAATAAAGCTTAAGTGAGCTTATGAAAGTGGCACTGTGTGCAGCACAACTTAGTCCTGTTTTAAATTACCGAAATGAAGAGAAACGGTAAGCGAGGAAGAGAAAATCAGGCGCGAAACAGCTACAGTCAGATCTACAATCCCCACCCATATAGAACTCAGCACCATTGGAACTATACAGAAAGGTAAGTAGCTGTGACAATTTTCACAGGTTTTAAAAACAGATATTTAAATTAAACAACTGTGTACAAGGTTCCCTCTAAGGTGTGTGTCTGCTACTCTGCTTCCCTTTATGCAGCCTTCCTCTTCCTCCACACACAGCAGTCGTTTTCTGCCCCTTTGGTCACAACAGAACCCTGCAGGGGCAAAGTCATGTGTGCAAGGGGAGAGCCCCATCCAGCGGGGCTGAAAATTAGAGGGAACGTTGACTGTATATACATTGAAAACAGAAACCGACATTCTAAAGCTGGAATAAGTACTGTATTTGCTGGCGTATAAAACTTTTTTTGCCCTGAAAAACATGCCTCCAAGTTGGGGGGGGGTGAGGCTCCCAAGATGGAGGCAATGATAGGAGTGCCGTCGCTCCTGAAGAATACCCATCACACCCAGACATCCCCCCCACCATCCCCACCACGGCGGGAAGAGAAAGGTGTGGAGACCCCGGATTGGGGGAAGGAGAGCGTCGGATCCCTTACCCTGAACAAAGGGGTAGACAGCCACGATTTGGAGGTGGCCCTGAAGGAGTTAAACATCACCCGGGAACCGGGGAGAGTTCTGGCGGGAAACCTAGGGGTGGAGATTGAGGCTGGGGTAGGAGATATAAGGGGGAAGCCGAGGGATATACCAGGAGGTTGGGAGTGGGTGTGGATGGAGGATCCCTGGACCCATAAGTGGGAACAGGTCCAGGTTCCTCATGAGGAGGCCGAGAAACGTCGGCAGTTGGAACTAAAACCCCAGCCTTCGTATTGGGGAGAAACGGAGGCAAAGGAGTGGAGGAGCGGGAAGCCGTTGTCCGGGAGTTGGAGAGGAAGAGGCAATGGCATATCGTCGAACTGAGGAAGTTGGAGGGTTACCCGGTCCCTGGGGGGCAGAAGGAGGAGATGGGTCATCCTGGGATGGCTGGAGCAGAGATGAAGAGACATTACCGTTGATTTCTTTGGAAGAAGCTTTGGACCCTGGGCTGGGACCTGTGCCGCCTACAACCGGTCCCTGGAACCCAGAGACGACAAACCCGTTTGTAAATAGTTTGTGGACACCGTTGAAGCCGAGCCATGTTCTGCAAGAGTCTCTGAACCCCTTTATAGGGGGAAATCCTGTTGGTGTTAATGTAGAAATAAATACGGAACCTTTCGATCTACCTCCACCGCCTCGCCCGTTTATTGGGGAACATACAGCCCTACCAAACGAACCCTCACAGGGGGTCGTCTTATACTCTGGGTGCATTTCAGTTGGGATAGACATAGCTTCCCATAGTAGCCTCCCGATGCCTGCCCACCTCATTCTACATACCGTCCAGTATCGCGCGGTATCCAGCGCAGCCACGGCGAGCATCAGCAGCAAGATGTGGTGCCAGCCTTTTCGACGTGACCAGCCCGTTCTGCTTGGCGGGAAGCAGCAATGCTCCGGCCCGCCCCTTGTCTACGCAGAGCTTGCACTTGCGCACTAGTGCTGGTCACAGGGAGATGCAGGGGCGGGGCGGAGGCGCTGCGGTCGCGCTGCGGCCATACAATGGTGGCAATGAATAGCACCTTTTATTTGGTGTGTGGAAGGTGTGCGGAAGAGGGGGTAGTCTTATACGGCAAGTATATAACAAACTATTTGGAGTGGAAATGTTGGGGGGTTGTCTTACACTCCCAGTCTTATACGCCGGCAAATACGGTACTGTTGATTACATCTTTGCTAGATTGCTGGATATTTCCGTACTTGGAATATCTTGTTTGCTTTTGTTATTACCATTGATCATGTGGAGTCCGGGGGAAAAAAAAGGAAAATTCAGAAAACTGGTTCCTGGTATTATTTTGCTACCAAGCCAAATACATTATCCATTCCTTTCTACTATGGCATCTGATAGAAGCTTTCCTCAATTTAATCAGCTCAGTCAAAAAATGGCTTACATTGGATCATCCTGGAAAGCAGCATTGAAAAACTCTGGGAACCATGTTTTTTCTTAATTGATGCTGAGTGTCTTAATGAGTGACATCCTTCAAAAGCCACCAGCCCTCTTCTTGCAGTTTAAGGAAAAGTATAGATAAGTACTGTGATATGGTTCCTGGCTAGAGATGGGGGCTTCATATTCACATATGAATATGAAGCCCCACACACAGGTAGCCTCCCTCATTATCTCTCACCCCCAGACCCTGCTGGACCACTTACCACACATCGCACCAATCGCGGCAGTAGCCCAGCTGCTGCAGCCCTGCCTCGCTACTCACCCAGCCACTCCATGGCTGAGCAGGGAGACTCGCCCTTCTATTCCCTTGCCAGAATGGCTGGGTGAGCAGGGAGGAAGGGCTGTGGCAGCCAGGCTACTGCTGCAATTAGCAGTGACACACGCTGCATGGTAAGTGGTGTGGCAGGGTCTGGAGGTGGGAGATAATCAGGGCGGCCACCTGTGCTGGTGGGCTTCATATACAAATACGAAGCCCCCTTCTCTATTCTTGGCATAGGAAAATAGTCTGACAAAATGATCTAGATTCCTTGAGACAGATTGCTAGGTATTGCAATACTGAATAAAAGCAGCATTGAAAGACTCTGGGAACCATGTTTTTTCCTAATTGATGCTGAGTGTCTTAGCTGCAGTGGCTCATGTCTTTGAGCCACTGCATTTTAACTTCCACTCCCAGAAGCTCTTTAGAGGATGGTCAGTCACTAGGAATTCTTTATGTTTGGGTCTGAGGAGGCTTTATGGTGCTGAAGTACTGTAATGGCATTTATTGAAGTCCTTTTATTTCTTCAGTCACTCTTAACATTTCATAATGATTTTTAAGTCTGTGTTTTGTGTATGTTCCATTATTGAATTTATCTAGTACTATATTAACTTCCTTACGTATGCCATTTATATAGATATGAGCAAGTAGAAATCCAGACTTCACAGAACCCAGGTATGAGCCAAGATGAATCCCCCTCTACATCTGATATACACCAGAACTCTCCAGTGCCTGGTAAGGAAGCTCCTGAGGAAGTATCTACTTTTTTCATGAATTTGAGACTTCTATATTTTCAATCAGTTTCTCAATGGGTATGTGTACTTGTGGCTGAGAAATATTTTAACCTGCTGTCACTTTCATGTACATATAGTAAATTGATGGGTGAGACTGCTGCCCCATAATCAAATATTTACTCATATACGAAACAAAAAAATAAAATAGTATTGTTCCCATCATACCATGTTCATTGGACATATGTTCTTAGACTCTGTGATGCTAGACCTGTAATCAACTTTAGCAGTGGAGGTTTCTGTCTTAAGAACAATAATGCTAGATTAACACAAGTGTGATTGTTACATGATTGGCAAATAATTCCATTTCTAAATTTAATTTGTTTATAGAATCTGAGTCTCTTCAAATACAGTGGTGCCTTGACTTACGAACACCCATACATGCAAAATTTTTGAGATACGAAAAGCTCCAGCTGCAAATATTGCTTCGACTTGCTGTCGGAGCTTCGAGTTATGAAAGAAAAAAAACACGGGGGAGGCGGGGAAAACGCAAAATTAGAAGGTGCTTGGTTTTAAAGGTGTTCTGTTTAAAAGGTGTTCTCCTGCCCTTTTTTAACCTAACAGGTGCTTGGTTTTGTTTAAAAGGTGCTTGGTTTTGTTTAAAAGGTGCTTGGTTTTAAAGTTGTTCTGTTTCTGTTTAGGGCCTCCAGATGTTCTTGGACTTCAACTCCCAGAAATCTTGGCCAGCAGAGGTGGTGTGAAGGCTTCTGGGAGTTGTAGTTCAAAAACATTTGGAGGTCCAAAGTTGGGTACCACCGGTTTAGAAGGTGTTCCCTACTACCTCCTTTCCTACCCTTTTTTTGACCTAAGTTCATCTTAGGTTAAAGTAAGAAAAATTCTCCCCCTAGTGGTAGAGTACGGATTAACCGGCTTTGCATTAGTTCCTATGGGAACTAATGCTTCGACTTAAGAAGGGCGCCTCTACATAAGAATGAAAAACAGCCGGAATGGATTGAATGGTTTTCAGTGCGTTCCTATGGGAAATGGTGATTTGACTTACGAAAATTTTGATTTGCGGCCACCACTGTAACTCACATGGAAAGTAACTAATCTGGTTAGGTTGAAAACTTCTCTTGTTTCTCCTGAGTATCATTTAGGTAATAAAGCTATAAATTAAGTGCTTATACTGTTGTATTTATGGAACCTGCATAAAGTCTTTTTTGAGCAGTTTGGTGGGGGTAATCATCATGTGTATGAAGTTAGAATTATCATCCTTAGTGTTTACAATAACCATGTTTTCGCTTTTGCACTAATTGAACTGCATTTATGCTTGTGTGAAGTTTCAATTTCATTGGAAGTGATGTCTGAATTCTTCCTTGAGGCGGATTAATTTGTGCTAGTTTGTAGCAAAAGCAGCAGCAGTAGCTTCCTCGGTTTACACATGGTTCCCAGAGTCTTTTGTTCTTATGACAATTATCTCTCTGTAATTGTGTCATTGATTGTCTTCTGTTATGCCACATAGATTATGAAGAACATAAAACAAATATCCATCTGAGGCATCTATCCATTTAATTTCTTTCTAAGAATTACCAGGGTTTTATTATGATCCTGAAAAGAATCGTTATTTCCGCTTGCTTCCTGGACATAACAACTGCAACCCTCTCACCAAGGAAAGCATTCAGCAGAAAGAAATGGAACATCAAAGACTGAGACTCCTAGAAGAGGAAAAACATATGAAAGTAAGGAGTTGGATTTAATTTCTTTCTTAAATTTTATATACCGTGTTTCCCCGAAAATAAGACAGGGTCTTACATTAATTTTTGCCCCGCCCCCCAAAAAAAAACACAATGCATTAGGGCTTATTTTCAGGGGATGTTTGATTTTTTTTCATGTACAACAATCTACATTTATTCAAATACTGTATAGTCATGTCATCTTCTGGTTTGCTCTACAATGGTGGAGGGCAGGGTTTCACTTAACTGGGCTTTATTTTTGGAATAGGGCTTATATTATGAGCATCCTGAAAAATCATATTGGGGCTTATTTTCAGGGAAACAGGTAGTACTTACAAATCAGAACAGAGTTAAAAACCCTTTAGACCTGGTGAGTTTTAAGTCTATGTAGTTCTGAATGGGATCTCCAGTGTAATTTCTGTCTAAATTTCTTTTCTTTTCTGAGAAGCAAATCTTTTATTGTTCAAGCTTTAATTTAAACAGAAATCTTTGCTTACAATTTTAGTTAAACAAAACACAAATGTAATTGTGTGAAAACACATTCTTACATAGCACATGTAGGAACAATAGCAGATGTGAAAAAACAGTGGGAACACAAAGTACATAAATATATTATTTTGCCATTTTAAATAGAAAACATCCAAGACTGGGCTGAACTCTTCCATCATTTTATGTAAGAGGAAGTTAGGTTTCTTTAGCTCTATCAATTATTGCAGGTAAGATTATTTAAAACCTTTTTTCTTACAAAGTTCTCTGTAATCTAGGTTTGTAGCCATACATATATCAGTTCTGTGAATGGACTTGTTTCTTACAGGTTTATTCACTTGCGATTCTGCAGCACATGACAAATACATTTGTAGTTTTTTTATTGATAGTCAAACTCATTCTGAAATTTCTTTTACTCAAATTGATGGGAGATGTAGGTACGAAAATGTTTCTTGATCAGATTGTGACCTTTCTTCAACTCAAGTTATTTTTCTAAACAAGTCTGTGCTGAATGGTCTTCTGTTAGATTTAATTTAACTTTTGCTAAACCATCTGATTATTGCTGTTACTATTTTGCTGCATTGGCTGGATTCCTATTGGCATTATACATGTGTAGAAGGTTTACCATAATCACCAGCAAGAAGAGTCTTCCTTATTCTCTTCTGTAGATTGTCTGATTTGTGAATAATCAGTTTCATCATGTGGAACCCATGAGGGCTGTGGAACAGAAAGAGGAAGTCTTTAATTATTGAAAATCTTCCCCTGCTGGTGATCTCATTTCATTATATTTGAGCAGTAGCAATTTTTTAGCAATTGTGATTTTTGGCAGACAGACTTTCATCCCATGGCTTCCACATCATGAAATGTATTGTTTGCAAGTTGTATGGGCTGTGGAAGAGAAACAGAGGGGGGGGGGGAATCAGTGATTTAAAAAAATGATTTAAATCTTCTGAAAATCCAATTCTTTTGATTTAAATTGTGATTTAAATAAGTATGAACTGATTAATCAATATGATTTAAATCAAATCCACCTTGGAGATAAGTGGGGAGTCTCTAATTACTTAAAATCTATCCAAGCTTTTTATGCTATCAGTTTTCCACAAGCATATTCTTGCCAATGGGATTTGAACCATTGTTATTAATCTTATAGGCAGTGCTCTCTTATAGGAGGGAGCCTTGTGGAACAGTGTTTAAAATGCTGTACTGCAGCCAAAACTGTGCTCACAACCTGGTTTAAATCCCAGGTAGCTACTCAAGGTTGACTCAGCCTTCTCTTATTCCAAGGTTGGTAAAATGAGTACTCATCTCATGGTGGGGAGGGCAGTGTGTAGCCTGCATGATTAACTTGTACACCACCCAGAGAGTGCTTTAAGCACCATGGGGCGGTATATAAACAGCATGCTTTCTTTGCTCTGTAGTGAATTCTCCTTTTTCTCTTACTAAACCTTACAGTGGAATTAACAGATCTGGAGTTTGAAAATTAAAAAAAATAGCTACGTGTTAACAAGCATCTGTTTTATATATATTTTGCCTGTGATTACATTAAATAGTAATTTGATAGTTATATTTTATTGTCCTCTTCTATTTGTAGGTTGATCCATGAGTTAAAGGTGAATTGCATGCAGAGAAGGAAATTAGAAATCAAGAGCCCAGATTCCTCTGTTTCAGGAAGCAACAATTTTAAACTGATTGCAGTATGTTGATAGCCTTTTCCTAATGCTGGAATAGCTATTTAATTTTATATCAGAATAGCAGTAAGAATGATTTATTTAAGATATGAGGGGGTGCTGGTAAGTATTGAGCCTTTCCCAGAAAAAAAATGAGCTAGGAAGCTATAAATTGCATGGTTTATTGGCCAATTTGTCTATATTTAACAATGAAAAAATCAACTACCTATGGTTTTAACTTATCTTTCATGTACAGGTCCAAAGTGAACATGGCAGCACCTCCAGAAAAGTTCAGTATGGAAGAGTGTAGGACCATAATCAAGTTCCTGTTTCTCCAAGAGAGGTGCAAAGCAGATCCATAATGAAATGTTACAACCTATGGGTGACAGTGGCCCTTCATATGCAATATTTAAACATTGGGTTGTCAATGTCTCTGTGCCTGCAAATGTGAAAGCCATCCATGACATGATCATGGAGGACCGCCGAATAGCAGCCAGAAGTATTGCTATATATCTGAGAATATCACGTGAGAGAGGTGGCTCCTTTTATTATCTGTTCCCCAAACTTAAAAAACACCTAAAGGGACAACAATCTGGTAGTGTTCTGGAGGCAACTAATGCTGCAAATGAATGGTTACACCAGCAATCAGAAGAATTTTATTTGCAGGGACTTAAGAAGCTGCAGGACAGATGTCGCAAGTGCATTGACTTGTGTGTAGAATAGCATGGCAGTTACAACTTCCTAGCTCAGTATTTTATTGGAAAGGCTCAATACTTATCAGCACCCCCTCGTAAGTCCATTAATATTTGCTTAAATATTTTTTAACAAATGGTAAGTGCTAGCTAGACCTGTATTGCTGGAGAAGCACTTACTTAATGTGTATAAACATGCATTTTGAGAGTATGAAGTGTTCATTGTTGGTGCCTTGCAGATGGGCTGCCTATTGTAATAATAATTGTTTGCTGTCAAGTCAGTTCTGACTTACGGTAACCCTTTTCAGTGTGTTTTAATAGCGAGTACAGTGGTGCCTCGCTTAACGAGCACCCCGTTTAATGAAGAATCTGCATAACGATTTGTTTTTTGCGATCGCATGGCAATCTTTTTAATGGCAAAAAATCGCTTTGCGATGATCGGTAAGCTGTTTCGCTTACTGATTTTTGCATAGCGATGTTTTAAAAACAGCTGATCGCAGTTTAAAAATGGCCATCTGCTGTGTTTTCGCACCCATTCCTCACTTACCGGGCAGCGAAAATGGCGGCCATATGGAGGATTTTCGCTTAAAGGTGAGTTTTTGCCCATAGGAACGCATTAAATGGGGTTTAATGCATTCCTATGGGCTTTTTTATTTCGCATAGCGACGAATCCAGATAGCGACGATTTTTCCAGAACGGATTATCGTCGCTATGCGGGACACCACTGTACTCAGAAGCGGTTTAACACCCCCTTCTCCTGGGAGCATCCTGGGGAAGTGGTTGAACACCCCCTTCTCCTGGGAGCATCCTGGGACTGTGCAGTTGTCTCAAGGCCACACAGCCTGCCTCTTTTGGGATCCACATAGGGGAATCAAATTGTCCCAAGGCCACACAGCCTGGCTCTTTTGGGATCCACATAGGGGAATCAAGCTCCCAGCTTCTGGCTCCACAGCCATATATCTAATTAATTGAGCTGTACAGCTAGTTATACACACATGCAAACAGAAAAAAGCGTACCTTACAAGATCTTGTAGAAAGTCACATTCTGCTTTTTACAGGCAGACACGGCATATGAAAGAATATTCACTGTGAATGATGTAGAGCATGGAGGATGTAAATATGGTATTGTCAACCTCAGTGGCTTGGGGAAGGATTCTCTGACTGTGGAGATGTACGACAACCTCTACTTCACTAACCGCAAGGTATTGTTCTATCTTTTATTCAAGGTTAGAACTGATTAATTCTTTTAATTACCAGTTGAGAGTTTTCTTAATTTTCATATCATTCCTTGTAATTTTAAATCCAACAATCAACTTTGGCATTTGGCAGTACACATGATACATGGTGCTTTCCTCCAGTTTGGGCTCATGTGCCTGGGTTATACACGTTGCAGCAACCTCTAGGTGAGGCTGTTGTAGTGCATTATTGTCTGTGGAACTGTCCTTGAATACGGTTCAGAAACGTCAGTTGATTCAAAACGCCATTGCATGGCTGCTGACTAGAATTCTCCTTGACTTAAGCCATAGCACTGGCTTCCATTCTGTTTCCAAACACAGTTCAAAGTGATGATACCCTTCATAGCTTCAGGCTATCTGAGATACTGCCTACACTGGCTTGTATGTGTCAACAGAGATTATTGACAGAGGCCCTTCTTTTTGTGTCCCCAGTGCTGAAATGAGGTCAGGCCTTTTTGGTAGTGGCATTGCACTTTAGCATCATCCTAGACCTAGAGTGGCCTGTTGGCTTGCCTTCTTTGTTATCATTGTAGTACCTGATGAAAACTATTTGTCTTGGCATTTTAAACATTGGTTTCATCTGTATTAGTTTTGATACTGTTTTACTGTATTGTTAGTGTTGTAGTTTTGTAAGTTTTTATTCTATTTTAAATTATTGTTTACAGTGTTGCAAAAGCTGCCTTAGGGTTATTTTTGAAGGTAAGACATTAAATCGGAGGAAGGACGGAGGGAATTTGTTCAAATTGCTTCTGCTCAATACTTGTTACAAACTGTCAGTTTGTCTGGCCCTTCTATAAGTATAACAGTTAAATAGTTTCAATGAGAATTCTCACTAGAAAGTCAGAACATTATTAATGCTGTCCTGTCTTGTACCACAATATTTTTCTGGCAGCGCTTGCTCTTCTGTATGTCCGCTATATGTTACACATTTTTAACCTTATTTGTAATAAGGTATGGGGACACTAAGGCCCCTCTATACTCACAAGCAATAAGTTACTGTTGACTCCAGTATGCTTGCATGCAGTTTAAACTGAATTCTATCTGAGATACTGCATTGTTTCAGACAGTCATTTGCTTTGCAAGTCTTCTGTTCCAAAATGACATGTTGGGAAGTACATAATATAGTACTTCCTTTAAAATAAATCAGTGTATGGAAATTGAGACAAATGTCAGTTGTCTCTGAGGGGCTGTATAATATGAGAAATTGTCTATCAGAGACTAATTACTAATTCTTAAACTGATATAGTAGTGTTTATCTAATTGTAATTATCTGTCTAATTGCCTAATTATCTAATTGTATTCAGTCTGACATATTATCACATGCCGATTCATATTTTCTTGGTTTTCCTAGCATTTTCCCTATTAGCATTTTTCTGTAGATTTGATTGCATTCATCCACTACTTTCCCAGTAGCCTTTACCTGTTGTGTTTTTATGTTGTCTTAAGGTAAATTCTGTGTGTTGGGCTTCACTGAGTCATCCGGATTCTCATGTTTTATATCCTTTCTATTAAAATGAAGTCCTGTTCAAGAATGTAATGGAGACAAGGGGAGGATCTGGCATTGCATTGCAAACGTTGTGACATATAGCAAATTGAAAGCAAAGTTTGCGTAAAGCCTTGAAGTGATTTTAAAGATAAAGAGACTGGTGAAAACTAGTACATCATCAGTGTAACAAGGAAAAGAACTCCGAGTAATTCTTAAAGTCTTGATTATATCTCTGGCACAAAGTTTCAAGTGTTCACAGACGTCTCTAAAATCTTGCCCAGTACTTTTAAATACAGTGGTGCCTCGCTTTACGATTGTCCCGCATTATAACAAAATCGCATTACGACGATCTTTTTGCAATCGCAATTGCGATCGCAAAACGATGGTCTGAATGGGGTTTTTTCGCTTTGTGATTATTGGTTCCCTGCTTCGGGAACCGATTCTTCGCAAAACAATTATCCTCCAGCTGATCGGGAGTTCCAAAATGGCCGCTGGGTAAATAAAATGGCTCCCTGCTGTTTTCTGGGATGGATTCCTCGCTGCACAGGCACCGAAAATGGTTGCCCTATGGAGGATCTTCGCTAGACGGTGAGTTTCCAGCCCATTGGAATGCATTGAAGGGGTTTCAATGCATTTCAGTGGGCTTTTTATTTTTGTATTACAACGTTTTCGTTCTACAGTGATTTTGCTGGAAAGAATTAACGTAATGCGAGGCACCATTGTATGATCATTAATTCCTTTCCTGTACAGCTCTAGAAGATTAGTTTTCTATACTATGTAGGTGCTAACTTATAATGAAGAGTATTAATTCTGGTCTTTGTAGCTTCCCCCCCCCTTGTATTGTGAAAGTAGGAGAAATATCACTTCTTCATCACAGTTTTCTTATGCGTTTAGCATTCATACCAATAGCTATCAGAGAATGGAACAAATGATTTCAGTGAAAAGAATAGACCCAATCATTTTAAAGAAGCCCTGTGAGGCTTGTTTTATAATGTGTTTTGCTCATTTTGTGACTGTCTTAAAGCAGCTGATTTTAGTGAAATATTTATTAGTGCTATTATAGCAGGAAGGAAGATCTGCCTCTCAGGTTGATGTAAAGGGGCACATTTTACTCCTGTGACAACTGTTAGTGCTGCCTCCTTAGTATCCTTAACTGCCTCCATCAAGCTGTGCCTTATGGGTGTTGCAGAAACTCTGGGCTGTGCCAGCTTGCTCCCTGCCTCCTTATTCAGCAACTCTAATACAGGTACTGCATGTCTATTGGTAGAGGATTATGCCGACAGATACTCTATACGTGGGTATCAATTTTCCAGCTCCTCTAATGACTTTCTGTAAATGTCATGGGAGTAAATTAAATACTAATCCTTCCTTTCATCTAAAGAGAACTGAGATTTGACATTGAATTTTATCTCTAGATATTACAAGATTGTGGTTTTCCCCCCCTAGTGAATGAGTTTGAGGTCCTCCTTCAATTATGTGTAAAAATATAGCAATCTGTGATCTTGAATTATTTTATAAAGGTTGTTTTAAGACTAAGGTGGATTAAATATGTGGGTCCAGCTGTGTATGAAGCAAAGGTTCAAAGAAAATCAAGGCAGATACTTCCATAACTATGAAAAAACATTGCAGAATGCAGGGGTGAGGTATAAGTAACAAATGTTTTCCAGATATTAAATTAAATGCCCTCCTCGTCTGCTCTTAAAATCTACCTTGACTGCTGGGATATGGCTTATGAAACATGATCAGAGCTTGTACCTGTCCTCTTCCTTGGTCCATTTAATTGTCTGAAGCATGTAATTCAGCCATATTGTTAAATGTTCCTCGCTGGAAGATATGTTAAAAACATACTTTGAAATGGGTCATGTTGCTATTCTCCATGATTCCTTCACTCTAAATCCACACTACTAAAATCAATTGAACCATATTGTCTGTTACGTGCCATCAACTGAGAATCAGCTTATAGTGACCCTAATAGAGCTTCCAAGGAAAGTGAAAGATTTAGGCAGCAGTTTTACTAGTTCAGCCACTCAGTGACTATCCATGGTTAAGCAGGGATTTGAAACCAGGTCTCTCGGAGTCCTAGTCTGTCACTGTATCCATTATACCACACTGCCTATTCCAGTGCATTTAAATAGTTTTAAGCGTTTAGTGTATAACTAAGGAAATAATGGTATGCAGTATATTTGGAGAATAAATCTAGTCTTGTTTATCATTTCACATTTCTTCCTTTACTGTTTTAGGTGACCAACCTGGAATGTTGTGTAGCTTCAAGATCTCCACAGCCTGGTCCTGTGCCTGGTGTTTGAATCCTCAGGCTGATAACTGCTTTAGCACAGGTGAGAGGAGATAACTTTCCTTTTGCATTGTGGAGCTCTGTTCTCCAACTTGCATTTCTATTTTGTTCACCATAGGTTTAAGCCGACGAGTCCTTGTGACCAATGCAGTGACTGGTCATCGGCAAACGTTTGGTACCAGCAGTGATGTCCTAGCGCAACATTTTGCTACCCAGGTAGGAGAAGCTTTTTTATGAGATAACAAACTCCTAGAAATGTTTTCACATAGTGCTAGCTGTGATTCATGATAGCTAGTGTTGATAAATATACAACAGGAAAGAACTGAAAGAGTGAATACAGTTGTCATGCAGGTGCTGCTTTAAATATTATAGTTAACCGGCTCCCTAAAGTGACTTGTCATGGTGACTAGACATTACCACAGCTTATTTGCATGCAGATCTTCAGGAACAGATCTTTATGAGTCAAATACCAGGGTTTGAATTAAAAGACTCAAGACTTGTACTAAAGTTACATAAGTTTTTGTATGGGCTGAAACAAAGTGCTCAAAATTGGAACTTTTGTTTGAATGAGAAAGTAGAACAATTGGGTTTTAAAAAGAGCCTGCTGATCCATGTCTATATATTAAAAAACAAAATGGTGTGCAATTAATGTTGTTAATTTTTGTTGATGACTTGTGCTTAATGTTTCCAGATGAATCATATGTAAAATGATTCATGCCTAAGATTGGAAAAGAGTTTCAATTGAAGCATTTGGGTGAAATTAAAAACTACCTTGGTGTAGAAATAGAACAAGATAGTGAAGGAAATTTCTTGTTAAGTCAAAGTAACATGATAAGAAATTTGCTGAAAGAAATGCAATGGAAAATTGTAATCCTGTAAAAACACCCATACTAACAAATTTTCATAAGGAACATGAATGCGAGGAATTCTTGGAGAAAGAGTTGTATCAGTCTAGAATAGGATCTCTACTGTATTTATCATCCTAGAGTAGACCTGATATTGCAGCAACAATAAACATTGTAAGTCAGAGTGCTGCAAAACCCTTGCAAAAGCACAGGAATGGTGTGAAAAGAGTGCTGAGATATTTAAAGGGAACCAGATTGTAAGTTAAAGTTAAATACATCTAACAATCTGAAATTAGAGTGTTATGCAGATTCAGATTGGGGTTCATGTGAAATTGATAGAAAGTCAATTTCTGGAATGGCTAAGTCTAGGAGAGGCTTTAATAGGCTGGGAGTCTAGAAAACAAGGTTTAGTTGCAACTAGCACAGTGGAAGCTGAGTTTGCATCATTGAGTGATTTATGTGGAGAAGTCACATGGTTTGTGCAGTTACTTAACGATGTGAACATGCAAATTGATTTACCTGTCACAGTGCATAGTGACAGCATCACTTGCATTCAGTTGGCAACTGAGGATCAAATGAAGAGTAGAAGCAAGCATATTTGCATAAAGTATTGCAATGTATAGAGTGCTGTGGATCAGAAACTGATAGATGTACAGTATTGTCCAAGTGAAAATAATATTGCAGACATTTTCACAAAGCCACTGACAATGCAGAAGCATGTTTATCTATACAATAAACTTGGCCTATACAGCAATTTAAGGAGGGGTGTTGAGATTTTGATATGAATATGTATTAAATATAAATGTTGTACAGTTGAAAGTAAAATGGCTTGTTTTACCTGAGTTATGTATAGATTGTATTCATGTGTGGATATCAAGGTTTGAGATTTAATGTCGTACAGCTGTGGTACACGATGAAACTTTGTGTAACTGAAAATGAAGGTACGTATTTTCTGATTGGTCCCAGAACTGTACATAAGTCATGTGTAAAGGGGACATTTTATCTGCTGTAAGTCAGATCACCTTTTCCAATGCTTGTGTTGTATCATGTCATGTTATGCTGCCAGATGAATGTTTATTCTCTCTGTATATATGTTAATAGATTAAGTTGATATTTTACTCTCTCAGTGGCATAGTGTCTATGCAAACTAGTATCTCCTTACTCTGCTAATGTTCTGAGAATACACGTTTAACCAAATTTCCCAACAGTAGCTGCTTCCCCTTTCCCACCGCAGACTGTTTCCCAGATTGTCTTACAATGTCATAATACTGTCAAGCTTCAGGGTTTGTTTCAGCTGCTGCCCCTTGCTGAACAGCTGACAACTGTTCTTCAGTGGCAAATGTTTTATCAATAGAAAATACACTTTCTCATGAAATCACTTTTTCTGCAGAAATATTCTTAAAAGATCTTGGGAGATACAGGTAAAAGTGTATTGTGATGTAAATAGAGGGTTGGATTTACATAAAATCTGGCTTCGAATGAAATTTCCTTATTTTCTTCAAACATTCTTCATATGGCTGATTAGAAAAATGAGGTGGAGAAATTACCCATGTACACCATGGGTTGGGAATAAATCTAATAAGGACGTATTAGATATGTATAGATGGCGTATAGATGGCTATGTTATTTAGGAACCCATTTGTTCTTTATCTTTCCTAGACTCCAGTGCTGTATAATGGCTGTCGTTCGGGGGAGGTTTTCAGCATTGATGTCCGTCTGCGCAGCCATAAAGGGCAAGGTTGGAAAGCCATCCGTCTCTTCCATCATTCAGCAGTCACATCTGTTAACCTTCTGAAGGATGAGAACTACCTCATGGCTGCAGACATGGAAGGACAGGTAGAGACTGGGGTTTTTCTGTACAAAAGTTGCATATAGCGTTACTGTTTTACTTTCACATGCCAAGGTTTTTAAAATTTCTATTTAAATGTATGTATTACAATATCCATCTGCAGATAAAACTTTGGGACCTGAGAAAACAAAAGTGTGTGAAAGAATATAGAGGTCATCACAATGAACACGCTGTTCTCCCTTTGCACATCAGTGAGGAAGAAGGTCTTCTTACAGCAGGTATGACACACGGTTGGGTGCAAAATGGAGTAGGCACAAGGAGAAGGAGTGTGAAGGAAGCAGCCTCAACTGTGCACACTTTATTCTAATCTGTTCCTTGGTTGTTTATGTTTTCTTTTTTTCTATAAATAAAAAACGATACCTACTTGTATATCTAAATTGTGACAAAACTTTGTGGTCAGTAGGAATAATGTGGCAAACTCTTGCCAGATATGTTTAGGATCCTGGTCCAGATTTTTAGAAAAATCCCATCCCCTCCGAAAATTCTGTTCTGCTTTCCTTCATATATACTTTCAGACTTTGTATTTACTCTGTGCACTTGACGGAGATTTATGTCCTGCAGCTGATGTTATTGTACATTATTTCGAATCATCCACAATTGTCTCAGTCCTCTTAGCCCTTAGGGCTGGTCCCAAACATTTTGCTGCCTGAAATACAAGACAAAGCTCTGCCACTTCCTGCCCTCTTTACATCATGTTGAAAACCAGCCATGCTGACAGTTGACTTTGATTTCCATGTGGGCCACAGGTACCATCCTTCATCATAGCTGATGCAGCAGCCTAGAAAGCAGAGGGTTAGAGGGCAGAGCATGTGGAACATACCATTCTGTCTACAGATCCCTCAGCCCAAGGCAACCACTTCACTCTGCTTAACAGGCTGTTCCTGGAATCTGACAACGTAGCATTGAAAAGGAAAATGGGTGAAGGTTTTGTTCTAAGAAAAATAGTTCTTCAAAGTATTAGAAATTTGATCTTGATGTGTACTGTTTTTTCCTCCATAGTGGGCCAAGATTGCTATACCCGGATTTGGAATCTCCAAGATGGCCGTTTACTCCGGACTATCCCTTCTCCATATCCATCTTCCATGGACTCTATCCCAAGTGTTGTTTTCTCATCACAGCTTGGAGGTGCCCGAGGGGTCCCTGGTCTGCTTATGGCAGTCAAACAGGATCTTTATTATTTCTCGTACAAGACAGATGATCCATATTGTGTGCATGCTAAAGACACAGGCCATGCTGCTTGTCTAAGTGCTTGAGAATAAAAACGTCAGATATCTTTACAGTTCTGTGTTTTTGACATATACTGTCATTCTCAGCATTCAACGTTTTGGAGCTTCATAATCATTTTGGGATCATATTTTTTTTCCTTTTTGCTACAGGATATTCTAGAAAAGGATTCTAGAAAATCTAAAAAACAAAATATTCAGTTCTTACAATAAAGTAAAGAATAAATTGTTTTACTTTCTCCAAGTGCTGTTAATTCTTTCTCTTTTTTTCTGTACACGATCAGTGTCGGATATTGAATCCCATAAGTAAAAAATTCCAGTATTCCTGTATTCTGTGGTACACTTTCTGCAGCCTCCACACTATTTGCTATCTGAGTTTTTCCCTGGGAGAGCTTAAAGGACATCCTTAGCAGAAGAAAACTGTAGTGGAACAATTCTTTAAAACAACCTGCAGTAATGTTGCCTTCATGCCAAAAAGCTACCCATGACAAGAGTGAGTAAGAAACCCCTTTGGTTGCACTTTTTTTGCTTTGGGCTGAACAGACACGTTATTACTAAAATTCTTCTTGATGTCTTAGTATTTCATTTACTTGCAGCATTTGATGGAAGTAGTTAGCAAGGCCAACAAGCCATATTGCAAAGTCTCCGAGACGGGTCTGCTCATATCTCCAAAGAAGTAGAGGGGTAAACTGAATATTTGCAATCTGTTTTTCATCCTTATTTACAAGGAGGGATTATTAAAGTGCCCCTTGCATATCTAAAACCATTTTTGTTACTTTAGGAAGACAATATACAGTTAGATTAACTCGTGACACTGTGGTTTAAGAATCTTAAATTTAGCTGTTTCGTTTATTCAGAGTGACCAAATCTTACTACTTAGTGTAGTGAATCGCACTAAAGGAAGCCAACTGAATCTACAGTACAGGAATTAACTCTTCCATATGTTCCATTGATTCAAATGGGCCTACTCTAACTGTGACTTACTTTAATAACTGACTATTCATACATTAATAGAATTTACTTTTATGCTTTCCATGTTACAAACAGAGTTACAGCCAACTGAACTCTTAATCTAAAGTCTGTTCTTGCCACTTTATTATAAGAAGCCTTGTGGCACAGTGGTTAAATTGCAGTACTGCAGCCAAACACCTTCATGGATTGCTGCCTTGTCGTGGATAAGGGGCTTGAGTAATTCAGAGAAGCTATGGGCTATGCCGTGCAGGGACACCCAAGATGGAGAGGTCATAGTGGAGGGTTCTAAATGCAATCTACCTGGAGAAGGAACTGGCAAGCCACTGCAATATCTTTGCCAAGAAAATGCCATGGACAGAAACAAAAGGCTAAAAGATATGACGCTGGAAGATGAGCCCCTCAGGTCGGAAGGCGTCCAACATGCTACTGAAGAAGAACAGAGGAAGTAGCGCCAGAGCTAATGAAGTGGTTGGGCCAAAGCCAAAAGGATGCTCAGCTGCAGATGTGCCTGGAAGTAAAAGGAAAGTCCGATGCTGCAAAAAAAAATACTGCATAGGAACCTGGAATGTAAGATCTATGAACCTTGGTAAGCTGGATGTGGTCAAACAGGAGATGGCAAGAATAAACATTGACATCCTGGGCATCAGTGAATTAAAATGGACAGGAATGGGCAAATTCAATTCAGATGATTACCATATCTAGTACTGTGGGCAGGAATCCCATAGCAGGGAATCTCATAGTCAACAAAAGAGTGGGAAAAGCTGTACTGGGATATAATCTCAAAAATGATAGAATGATTTTAATATGAATCCAAGGCAGACTTTTCAACATCACAGTAATCCATGTTTATGCACCAACCACCCATGCTGAAGGGGCTGAAATTGACCAATTCTATGAAGACTTACAACACCTAGAATTGACACCAAGAAAGATGTTATTCTCATTATAGGGGATTGGAATGCTAAAATAGGGAGTCAAGAGATAAAAGGAATAACAGTTAAGTTTGGCCTTGGAGTTCAAAACGAAGCAGGGCAAAGGCTAATAGTTTTGTCAAGAGAACAAGCTGGTCATCACACTCTTTTTCAACAACACAAAAGTTGACTACACATGGAAATCACCAGATGGGCAATATCAAAATCAGATTGATTATATTCTCTGCAGCCAAAGATGGAGAAGCTCTATACAGTCAGTAAAAACAAGACCTGGAGCTGATTGTGGCTCTGATCATCAGCTTCTTATAGCAAAACTCAAGCTTAAACTGAAGAGGGTAAGAAAAACCACTGGGCTAGTCAGGTATAATCTAAACCAAATCCCTTATGAAGACACAATGGAAGTGAAGAACAGAAATCTTGATTTTTCACCATTCCCAGTATAAAGGACTGAAATAATCTTCCTTCATTAAAACTAAGCAGATGCTGTAGTGGTTTTGAAGCCATTGTTCTACTAGTAACATAGTTAATTATGCAGAGAGACTCCATGATGAAGTTTGTAAATTAAAGAGGATTTTTTTTTAGCAGTAACCAGTGGAGGTTAAATCTTTGAGCCACTGGAGCTTACACAACCAGAATTCCAAGGTATCAGATGAAAACACATTTCAAGATGGAGTTTTGTGCTTCTGAAATGAGCAAGGAAGAAGAGGGCAGCTGTGAAAGAGATTGCTGCCAGTACCTGAATAGAGACAGAAGATTGTTATTACCTTCCTTGTAGGAAGCTTAAAACAAAGAGGTGATATGTCCGCATTGCTCTTCCCAGTCCAGGTTATAGAACCTTTGAACATCACAGCCACTCAAGTAATTGGAAATATCAGCAAACCACACTTGGGGCTTTGAGATACTGTAAGTACTGAGCCTCATGTTCAGGAGCTCCAAAAAAACTGCCAGGTTTTAAAAGACAAACTGAATGGTGTGGAAAATCGCCATAGACAAAATCTTCAGTTTTCAAGAAGTCTTTGAACAGAATATGATGTGAGGCTCTTATGGGTTAAAGTTAAAGAACATGAAGATTCCAGAGGGAAAGCATGGTTTTGAATATATTCATTGAGTAACTTTTCCATAATATTGTGGTTATATTAATGAACAATAACAATAAATTAATAAAAATAAATGACAAATGAAAATTTAAGAAGATGAAAGCAATAAATTTGAACATTTTGACAATTTGTGGAGGGGTTGTGTAACTTGCCGCATCCAATTGACAGAGGGTCAGCGTCCTCTTAGTCACATCTGATCATGACACAAGGACACGTGTGCTTTAGTACTTCCCATCTGGATTACTACAATATCCTCTACAGTATGTGGGGCTGCATTTGAAGAGTGATCTGTGGGGACTTTAGTGGTTTGGTGCCAATTACCTTTCTCATACCCTGTAAATAAGAACTGCGATTGAAATGAAACTTGGCTATTTGGCAACAGGAGAACACTTCTTCCTATATATGGCCTTTAATGGCATGTCACAGCTATTTCTGGAACCAATAGGTTCTCCTGAGGACTTTCAGAGCAGATAGATCAGAAAGATTTATATTTAACATATAAATCTTGTGTTTTTGGTTTTTGGCTTCTTTTGTTAGTTGCTCTCATTTCCTTGGCTTTACTCATCTGACCAATACAGTTGACCCATTTTTGTAAACAAACAATGAAAGAGTGCAACTAAGGTCATGGCAAGTCGTCATGGGCTGATTTTTTTCTTATTTTTTATTTTAGGAAAATGTCCCCTTCATACTGTTGAAGTGGCAGAATGGATATTGTATTCTGTTGTGAAGCAAAAGAATTTTTCAGAAATCATAACTTGTATTTTTTTTAAACTATGAACATCATCACTTTTAATGTCATTGGATGTATAATTTATTTTCATATGTGTGCTTATATACTTTGTAAAGATAAATATGCCTTTTCCCTTAAGGTGAAATATTTTCTCTCAAAGTTGCTTTAGCTGTGTTCCCTTAGAGTTGACCTGAAATGTATACATCTGACTTCGGCTGGGATGATTCCTTAAAGAATCCCGATTTTTAAGGTTTAATGGACTGTAGTCCTCATGGAGATGAAAAAGTCTGAATGGGGTGTGTAAAAATACATCTTTCTCCTAGGAACAGTGACAAGGGAAATCACAAGATGAGAAATTGTTTAAATGATTCAAAATAAAATGAAACCATTTTTGTGTAAGCCTATATTCTAATTCTCTAATGTAGCAGTAGGGAGCCTCCAGAAGTATAAAGACCACACATACCTGGATGTGAACCTTAGATGGCTGTGAACCAAGTTTGTCCTGTGTTCTCAAACTCAAAACATTTTTTAAAACTGAAAACATCTTCATAACATCTAGTGGTAAATTTTTCTTTTATTTCCAAAATTATTTGAGGCATGTGGGGGACCCCTAGAATATGGCAAAATTGTCTTGGTCAACCCCTAAAGGGTGTTGCCTGGCTTCTTTGGATAGGAGAATATCACACTAATTCTTGAAATGTACTAAACAAGTATCAAGTCATGTCTCCCCTCCTGACTTAGAACTCACAAGTCAAAATAAAGAGGAACCAGAAACAAGTAATAGGCAATGCCAACATATCTCTCAGCACCCATCAGATAAGGCCGCAGCAACATACAACACTCTGGCCAGAAGCTTACTAGTATTCATTTATTTTGGAAAACAGAAGTGGTTAGTAGTGTTTTACACCTCAAAAAATCCACGTAAAAGCCCAGCAGTTTGAAACACTTTGTTCCAGATGCCAAAATCTGTGTAGACCTGTAAATATAATCATCTAAGGTGTTATGCATGCATTTCGATAACTAGTTGTTTGTATAGGAGGTTAGGGTCCTGAATATTGACAGATTTGGGGTGTAAATAATGATTTTCTTTGTATTTTTTAAAATCTTAGTCATTTAGTATGATTTCTGAAGTAAGTGAATGCACCCCTGCCAGCATTATCGTGGTTCTGGAAGCACCATCAGGACTGTTGTAGGATAAACCACAGTTTCACTCAGGGTGAAAGGCATACTTTGTTCTTCCCATTAGTATTGCCAAAGCCGTGTGGCTTGTGCAGATTCTATCAAGTCCTAGCAAAGTATACTTGTTCTTTTGCAAATGTTTATTTCAACAAAAATGACATGAAATTGGAAATTGAAAAGGAAGCGTCGAGACTAGTTTATCAAATGAAGTTTTCAGAGTAATACCCAAGCAACCTGTAGTAGTCTGAAAACTCTGAGAATCATTGGGTTGTTTTTTTTTCCATCCTGAACTTAACTAGTCAGCCTTATCAACTCAACTCCCAGCTGACTTTGAGACGCATGGTCTCCTCTGGTGTTTGCACTAGAAATTCTGGATAAGTTTGTGATTCCGAAAGCTGTAATTGCAGGAATTAGCTTTTCCATTCTCTGCACCACTAATAATCAGTATGAGGGTCACGGGAATTCCAGCCACAAACACACTACTCTTGTCTAATGCTGGAAACTAAGTGGTGTCAGTTCTAGTTAGTATTCAGATAGAAGACCACTAAGGTTCTCCAGGTAGGGCTAGGAAAGGATCTTTCCTGAAACTCTGGAGAGCTGCTGCCACTCAAAGGGTTAACAGTATCAAGCTAGATAGACCACTAGTCTGACTTATCCAAAAGCTTCCTAAATTCCTGTGTACATGTTCAACCTCTCCCACACATCATAATGCTGTACCATTTCTACTCAAAAGAACCAGAGCATTTTACAACTCCAGAGTCAATATAGTTAAATAGATCTCTTTTCTGAGGAAAGCAGCCCTTATCAATAACAGCTAATAAGTGATTTTAGCAGGTGACAGAGGTGCTAATGTTTTAATAGCTAACAGATTGTTTTTTTTCTCAGATGCACCAAGCCACCCGTAAAACGGACTGTAAAAAATGTATTCCTGCATTTCAAAGAAACTTGTAGACCTGCAGCTAATTAAAAGAAAACAGATAACTCAGTGAAACAGAAGCTTAAGAGTGGAGATTTTATACAAGGAATGTTAGGAATGGTTCCTGTATGTGCAATAACAGGAGTAGAATAATTATAATTACATGCATGGGGGGTGGGGAACACACATGGGCTACAAACAGGTTCCATTTGTATTTTCCACCACAGTCAAAAAGAAAAACACTTCAAAGTGCGGTACCTAGGCTGAAAAATCTCTACAAGACTTTTACCCTACACTTTCTACCCAAAAACAAATTATCCATTTCTGATTACAAAATACATCTTAATTCCCTTAGAGTTCAGATAGCAGGAAATTTACTACATAATCCAGTTCAGTTTTGGCATGCAAGCCAGAAAACGGTGTCTTCCTCCCAGTGAGAGGGCATGATCCAGAAGGTACACAGAACTCAGCACATTTGTTCAAGAGGAGTCATAAATTATAGCATAACTTTAATAGTAAAGTCCTAAAAGAGGGTCTCAGTCAAGTGTGGAAGGATATAGTTAACATGTCAGGATAGCATGCCAAACTCCCAGCTGTTATGAGTGCAGACGAATCACCACCACCGGAATGTGCCATACTCACTGGAGTTGAAAGGAGGGATTCATTCTGCAATCCAGTTCCACTTCTGAGGGCCTCTTTATCTGCCATAGAAGCCAAGAGCCACAGGAAGTTTAATGCTGTAATTTCATCCAGTGGTTTGATCGTTTCGGTGCAGGGCTTTTTGGAAAGTAAAATGTCCCTGTGTCATGTTCTCTTAAAAGAACATGGTTGCTTTCCAATTTGGTTTGTTTGAGCGTTTTTAGGGTGGTTCATACAAACACCCCTACAGGGTCTATATTTGTCAATTTACAGACACCTAGTGACTAAGATGCTAAGCAAACACTACACAGTATGGTATGGGAGTTTGCCTAGTACTTACTACTGCCCTTTGAATGGAGGTTTCTGGTAGAGAAATGACCATCGACCACAGGGGAAAAAATATGTAGAAACATGAAGAGCAAGACTCAACAACTCAGAGTGAAGCTACAATAGCTGATAGCAGACCAGCTTTTCATTTTGTGTCACTTGATTTGATTTCCCCCTAAAACTGTGTTTGCTGCAGGGTCTTTCCAAGACCACTTCCTACCCACTGAAATGATCGTTTTGTGTCACTTGATTCGATTTCCCCCTAAAACTTTGTTTGCTGCAAGACCACTTCCTACCCACTGAAATGATCATCCTTTCCCACAGCAGCAGCACTCTAATCAGGACTTGCACAGCACAATCCCAAACAAAGACAGGGCACTCCCCCTAGTTTCTCAGTCTGCTTTCAGGCCTGGGAAAACACTTTCGCTCTAGCTAAGGCCCTACAAACAGAACAAAAACAGACTGGGATCAAATAAATATAGTTCATGATGTTGCAAGGGGCCAGACGGAAAAGCCTGGCACTCCCAGATCACAAGCAGGGGCTACAAATAGATTTTTTAAGCAGCACACCCTGACATCCAAGCCTTTGCAAAACGATGGTGCTGCAAGCCATCAAACTACATGAAATAATCCCAAGGCACTCAACAGGAGGTGTGTTTCTCCCATCCCACTTCAAAAGCAGCTCCATTCTGCTTTTCTCCTTTTGATGGTTAATTATCAATGCTTCATTAGCCAATTGCATTCTTAGCACACTGAATTATGTAGATATACAGACGTAGTTTTAATGGGTAGATAATGCAGCACATTTTAGATTCTCCATTTTCACTCAAACTTCTCCATATGCTCCAATCCCAATGTTCAAAATCCGCTTGAAGTGAAGTCTTGGTTGCTTGCTGTTCAGCAATCCAATGGCAATTCATATGTGAAAAAGGGACCAGGGATCAGGAGCATGCACTTGGACTACGAAAGGTCAAAACGGCAAGGCGTTTCTTTTCTTTTGTTGTCTAACCCTGAGAAGCTAAGGTGTTTCGGCTGACCCAGAAAAGATGGATAGTGTTAAAGATCACCAGGTTTTTTATTGCAGTTAAAGCAGACTCTGACAGGATGATCCCAACCACGGGAAGGGACAGCTCTGCGCTCGTGGGAACACTCATCACAAAAACCTTGGCCGCAGGCACGACAGTGGTGCTTTGACAACTTAACATTGAATTCCTTCCGGCAATTATGACAATGTAAGATTTCATGGTCAGGAACCCAGTAGGCAGGCCTGGCAGCATCCTTCACAAGACCTGCAAAATATGAGAAGAAACAATGCAATTTCTGTCCGACAGCACCAACAACAAGCAGCGCCTAAACCAGCCCATCCCACCCACCTTATACATTTTTCAAGCAGCATCCTAAAGGAAGTTGACCATCCCGTACTACAAAATTATTCAAGTATTCTCTTCGCTAAAGGCTTTGTGAACCGTTAGTTTCCTCGGGACCCAAGCTCTTCATTTCCCTTGCTTGTTTTTTTAGAGATATAACCTGAAGGCTGAAATCCTGCTAGTGTAACTGTGTCTGTGGAAGGCTGGCAATGTCATCATTAGCAGTGAATTTCAGAAATTAAACTCCTCCTACTTAGTCTTCCAGCTCCTAGGTAGTCCCTTTCACCTTGTGAAAGCTGCAGGATTCCAAGTAGAAAGTGTCTAATTTCCAAAAATCACCTACTGCTGATGACATTATCAGCCTTCCACAGGCATGGTTATGTCATCAAGATTTCATCCCACATGTGTGAGTCAGCTTTGGGAGCCAGGAAGATGCAATATATTCCAAGGCTTCTCAAGCTAGCATTGTATCTTCAACTATTTCATCATAACAGAGACCTCCGCATGAAAGCTTAAAAGAGACCAAGACTTCTTGCCTCCTGGGAATAGTATATTTCACCCTTTGTACTAGAAGTCAGTTAGCAAACCCTCAAGTTTAATGCACTCTGGAGTTGTTATGTGCAGTGGAGTCACACCTGATTAATGGCATCTTAATAAGGTTTTCAAGGCATATAAAATATTAACAAATGGAGTGATATTATCAGTGTCAACTCCCAGTGAATTTCCATGGCTAAGCAGAGATTTAAACCCATGTCTCCTGAGCCCTAGTCCAACTCTCTGCCCACTACACCACACCATTACTGTTCCAGAACCCATAAAGCATGCTGTTAGATGGGACGAACATACTGCCTCACTTTTCTTTCATCTATTTCCTCACAGACCAAGGACAAGAGTAAGCACTACAAAGCAAACTGTCCAATATGTCCAGGAAAGATCCAAACAATCAGGGAAACTGCCATGTTATCATTGGTGGGGGAAAATACACATTGGGAAAAAAATCTCCTGCATCTGCAACCAAGCTGTGTCTGTTATGATGTGTTCTGCAGGATTCACTAGTTGCACAGGCCACAATTATGTTAAGTAACGCTTATTATGTAGTCTCTTTCATCCAGCTAGCATGCTCCAGAGAGTCAGGCATTGGGAGGGAAAGAATCAGCCCTGCCACACACAATAGCACCAGGAAGAAATCGTTCCAATGCACATTCACCAACTACAGCCATGAAGAGACATCAAATGCCTCTCAGAACACTGTAGCTGCTTTTTCCACTAATCCCAACTCTATAACCTTTGAGCCGAAAAGTTAAAATGTTTTCTAGATGCAGTCACCAACGTTTACCTAATGGGATGTCAATGGCAGTCACAACAGCCCCAAGAGTGTTCTGTACTGCTTCGCCAACTTTCCTGGCTATCACCGTCCCACCTTCCTCATCTGTCGGAGCCTCAGGCACATCTAAAAAACAGAGGTTAGGTCTTAGGACAAAAAAAAATGCAGATGCAGCTTAATTCACAGTCATCCTATTTGGAAATAAACAAGATACCCCAACAGGATCATTAGCCAGCTCGAGCAGTGCTTCATACAGGGATGGATTTACTGCTGCTCTTACAGATGCTGATGGACTGTAGCTCCTATCAGCCCTAGCCCTGCATAGCTAATGGTGAGAGATAATGGGCCAAACATCGGCCATACCTGAGTTAGTGCTATTAGGCATGAGGCCTATTCAGGCATTAGAGATCCACGTCTACTCACCACGGGAAGTAGAGTGCTCCA